GCCTCTTCTCCGTGGTGCCCAGCAACAGGACAAGAGGCAATGGGCAGAAACTGAAGCACAGGAAGTTCCACCTAAACCTGAGGAAAAACTTCTTGACTGTGAGGGTGACAGAACACTGGAACAGGTTGCCCAGAGAGGTGGTGGAGTCTCCTTCCCTGGAGATATTCAAAAGCCGTCTGGATGTGATCCTGAGCAATCTGCTCTAGAGGACCCTGCTTGAGCAGGGAGGTTGGACTAGATGATCTCCAGAGGTCCCTTCCAACCTAAACGATTCTGTGATTCTGTGACTTACTTCCTGCCCTCTTTTAAGCACATTTTTGGATGGTGGGAGCAATTTACCTATCAGTTCTCCCAAGGGGCTGGGCTGGGACTGCTTTCTGCTTGCACCCAGAGTTGGACCACAGTCCACTCGTGCACCGGGGAAGGCAGTGTCTGACAAATTATAGCACACTGTGGAACTGAGGAGCAGGTCATGTTTGTTCCCCTTCCCCCTCTCCCTTACCACACCAGAGAATGTATCTGTATGTGCTACATTTTCTCTTTTTTCCTGAAAAAGAGCAAAAATGCAATGTGCTGTTAAGTGGGACATGGACCACACCTGTAGATTGTGAATTGTCACCTCCAAGCCTGCTCTAGTTCTGTAGCCTGTGCATGATTCACTATGTAATTAGCAGCAGCTGCAAATCCAGCAGGACAGCATGAGGGAACTCTTCAATTGCATTTTGCCAGTATTGCGCTTCCTGCTGTAGGACTGAGGATATTAATTTATGGTTAGACTTGTCTTGGGGACAGATGAGTCCACACCTGCTAAGTGTCCTCCTCCTCTGGCCTTCTCCCCTGATGTGGCTGTTGGCACCAACTCTATGTAGACAGCGCTCCGGATAGTGCAAGCTGTGGTTAGACCTGGCTTTGCAGCGCCTGCTACAAAAAGCCTATGTTAGGCTTTGCCGCGTCCTCTGCACACCACTGTGCAGTTACTAGTAGAAACAGAAGGAAAGAGAGGAGGAAGGGAGGAGGGAATCAAGGAAGGAAAGAAGGAAGGACGGGAGGAAGGAAAGGGAGAGGTCAGGGGAGAATTTGTAGTTTACTCAGGGTTTGCACCACCCCACTACCGGGGGATACCTTTACTGAGAGAGCCCTGGCCTTGTCCTTGTCCTCTTGTGCTCCAGCCATGAGCAGGGGGTAGAGTGGGAGGCACACAGAGCTGTGCTGTGCTGCCTGCTTGCTCCGCTGAAAAAATCACGCTGGCATTGGGTGGGCCTGACACTGATTTGGAGTGGATGGCTGACCTGCACTGCCTTCTGCTAACCACCAAAATAACGTGATGGACCGATGTGGAAGAACTGCAGCTCCTGCGCTAGCTCCAACAAGTCCCACCATCGCTGTGTTTTCCAGGTAAAGTAACCCTTCTGCGGTACTCAAAGCTCTGACTTGTACAGAAAAATACGCAATTCAGAGAAATATGCTAAATACAAAGGGGGAAGGATAGTGCAGACAGAAGGAAAGGCGGTCTTGCTAGACATTTTACTCTATTGCTGGGAGTATGTTTATCCTCCTTTACAGCTCCTACTGCAGGAAAAGCATGAGAGAGACAGTTGTGTTCTATGATGTGGGTTACAAGCTTTATTATCCTGTAGCAGTACAGGCTCCCTGCACAAAAGGCCTGATGAAAAAACCTACAGTCATTCTATATGACAAAACTCTAGTGTTCAGGTGTATTAAAACTCAGACTGAGGAGGAATGCAGTGAAGCTCTTTCTGGCTGGAGTTGAGAATGTGACACTGTTCAGAGTAGGTAAGTCAGCTTTATCCCTTATTTCGCCGTAAAACAGTGCACAGGTTCCACCACTTCTGACAGCAGTAACAGACATATGGACCAGATTTTTGAAATGACGGTTAGAAATGTTGATCAATGTTTAACCCCAATGAGGCTGCTTGGTTGCCACAGCTACTGAGCAACTGCAACTGAGCGCAGTCAGGCTGGCTGGAGCACCCACATTGTTGAAAAGTAGACCCGTTATTGTGGTGTGGAAATGCTGACTTAAAAGTTAAGCTTTAGGCAAATGGATTCTTGGACATCTTGGTCTTTCAGGCATTATTTAGCACGTTTGCTCAAAACAGTGGCTAACCTAGCACTAACAGCAAATCTCAACAAATATCATAAGACCTTATTAGGGACAAAAACATGACATTTTAGGGAAGCAGGCAGTCTGCTATCAAGTGTCTATCAAAACCCTCTGACTTGGCTATCTAGAGGCCTTTAAGGGCATCACCTGTAGTCAGCTAATGGTGACTTGGTAGGTGGTTGGTGTAGTAGCACCAACCTAATCAGTATTTCTGTATCTTGCTCTATGGGCTACGTTCCTCCAGCCATATTGCCTTTCTTTACCTCTCTTTCTTGTGGGAACTGAGCTTTTCAGAGGTGCAGCTCTTTTCTTCCCTATATGGAAGACTTTATCACCAGGAAAATGTTCAGCATAACATTACTTCATTGCAAGTAACTATCTGTAATAAGCAAGACAGTGGCCAACACGACTTATGTCATGTTTATGGCAGGCATTCTGCAACCGTCCAGGAGTCCTCACCGTCTGAAATGCCAGGTGAATACATGGCTGTCTCCACCACACTTTCCTTGGGAAGACTATATGTCCTGTATGGAAAATGGTCTGGGCAGCAGCTGCCAAGCTCAGAGGGAGGCAGCAGCAGGCCCCTGCACAAGGCAGGTCTGTGGCTAGGACTACTGGTTCCTGCAAACACAAGACTTCCCACAGCACCTCCTGCAAAAGAGCCTTCCTGCAAGCTGCGAGTAGATTGAGTAAGTGGAAGAGGTGGGCAGGGCTGGGTAAGAGCAGCAGAACTTGCACAGGGCTGGAGCAGAGTAACTTATCGCTGGTGTGCGATAATTGGAAGCCTCCCTCCCTCTCCGAGCAGCAAGGAAACTATGAGGCAGAGAGGCAGCAGTCACGCTGCTTGCCGAGTACACTGCTGTGCCGTTTCTCCTGCTCCGGCTGGGCATACATGCCCACCTGCATTTGTACTGGGATCACCTGAACGCTGCAGCTGGAGCAGAGCTATTGTCCAGCAGTGGCAAGTGCTGCGTAGACACACAGAGAGATGAGATTCTTGTCCATACTCAGCGGGTGTAGTAAGAAACACGGTGCTTTGCATCTGCCTTTGAGAAGGCAATGTCTAAAAAGTGGGAATTTTGCATGTGAGAGAGAAGCATATCATACAGGTGTGTGATGGGCTTAGCTCCATCACCTCGGGCCAACACTCATGAAAATGAAGTCAGATCCACCAGGTTTTACGGGGGGATGTGCAGCTGGAACTAGCAACACTTCACCTGGTCAGGAGTAGCCCAAGGAGTAGAAATATACTCTACACTGTTTGAAAAATTGTGATAGTTTGTTATTTTTTAACAGTATTCATAACTTATCTCAAGAGCATGTTACATAAGCGTGAAATTGTACTGGTTATTCTCTTCAGCTAGTAAGGATGTCTTCAAAACATGAGTCTCCATCTTCAATTTGACATGACTTTAAGTAGTAGCCAAAAAAATTAAATTAATTTTGTAGGGATACAGTACTGTTACAGTGATTAATAAGTAAAACAAAAATAATGTCAATTGTGAAGAACCCTTCCAGTGGAATGCAATCACATTTAGCTGTACAACACTATCCTGTAGGAGTACTGAACTAACGTTAGCATGTTTTTAATTTGAAACATTTGGCTGTTCGTTCTGTCAATTGGTTTAAGCAGGGTAAGAAGTATCTCTTTAGTTAAACAGGATTATCTTTACTTTATTGGTATGTTTCATGTAAGGAGTCACGTAGGTTTTTGTGTGTGATAGTTCCAGCTCCTTAAAGATATTTGATGAGGACTCACATCTGCCTGTGATTCCTGTGGCAAAGCTGTGGGCAGCTTTCACTGAATCACAGAATCACAGAGCGGTTGAGGTTGGAAGGGGCTTCTGAAGATCATCTAGTCCAACTCCCCTGCTCAAGCACGGTCTCCCCTGCTCAAGCACGGTCAGCTGGGCCACATTGCCCAGGACCCTGTCCAGATGTCTTTTGAACGTCTCCAAGGATGGAGGCTCTACGACCTCTCTGGGCAACCTGTTCCAGTGCTCTGTTACCCTCACAGTAAAGATGTTTTTCCTCATATTCAGATGGAGCTTCCTGTGTTTCAGTTTGTGCCCGTTGCCTCTCATCCTATTGCTGGGCATCACTGGGAAAAGTCTGGCCCCATCCTCTTAGCACCCTTCAGATACTTGTAGGTGTTGATAAGATCCCCCCTCTGAGTCTTCTCTTCTCCAGGCTGATTAGTCCCAGCTCTCTCGGCCTTTCCTCGTAGGAGAGATGCTCTAGTCCCTTCATCATCTTAGTAGCCCTTCGCTGGACTTGCTCCAGGAGCTCCATGTCTCTCTTGTACTGGCGAGCCCAGCACCGGACCCAGCACTCCAGGTGTGGCCTCTTTCTCACATGACTGTCACTGGAGCACAGATTACGCTGTGTCATGCTGGCTGTGGACACTTGTCCACCAAGAGCTGCACATCTGTGGTCAGTGGTTGCTGAGTCAGAGCCTAATGCCACATGGTCAGGCCACATGATAATTTCACTCAGGTCACTAAATGGCTGGCAGATCGTACCTGCATCTGGACTGAGTTCTGACTGGAGGGTGAAAGCCTCTCTAGCTCCTATTGAGCCATGCCGACTCCAACCTGAGCCAAAAGCTGGTTTTATCATGTGTATTTGCCCTGCACACAGTGTCCTCTCCATTCCAGTCATGAAGTGAGCCACCTGAGGGGCTCCAAGCCAAAGAGATAGTGAGTCCCCGAATCTCAGAGGACGCCAGTGTCTGTATTGTGGAAGAGGTGGCTTTGCTTACAGGTGTTACTGCTAGGGGGTGACAGTCAGACACAGGGAGCTCTAGTTGGAAAATAGAGCCGGCTTTCCAGGATTGTATATTTTTAGGTAAATTGAGTGGTTTATCATAATCCTTAATAGCCAGTGACAAAAACTGGGGCCTCCTAGTACCTGTGATGAGAGAGCCAAAGGTGAAACAGCCCATGCAAATGCAGACTGTTTGTGATGGTCGGTCTAGAGGCATGCCTCCTCTTGGTAGCTGTTGTGACCAGCTTAAAACTAGCACATTATGAACTGATTCAGTGCTACAGAAACTACTTGCATTCAGTTGTGCTGGATTGTCCCCGGTAGCTATCCTCTGACACGTTGAGCCCTCTTCCTGCCAGTAATCCACAAAAAGAGATGTGACTTAGGCAGATTGATTTTATAGGTCTAAAGCTTTCGTGCTTGTCCTGACTTTTCCTGCTTCTTCTACGCTGCCTTTTGCGTCCTTCGTCTTTTCTCCCTTCTGGACTGTCTGTACTTTATGGACTCCTTACTCTTGACTGCAGAAAAGCTTGGGATGAATCCCCTTGCTAATGTTGCAACAAGGCATTCATATCCCTTTTGCGTCTCTGAGGCAAGAGCCATCTGGCATTGGAAGAGAGATGATCTGCAGAAGCTAACACGATGGCAACCCCTCTGCCCTCTGCCAACTGCTAGGCCAGAACGAGCTATGCTCTGGCCTAGATATAGATAAAGGCCATATATATATGAGTGTATATTAACATAGTGCCGTGGACGCCCAGGTGTTTGCCCTGCCATGGCATCTCTGTGAAGCTGGCCATATATGTATATAGGTATGACCTACGTATGGATCCATCTGCTCTGGCAGAGGATGCACTACCTGCCTGGAGAGCTAGTATGTAGCGCTGGCAACATGCTAGCAGAGAGCGATCTCAGTGGCAGACGGTGTGAGCACCGTGTGGCTCAAGGCAGTGTCTATGCAGCCTTGCTGGGAAGAGATGAGGAGTAGTTACAACGCAGGAAAGGCTGCTCACCTGGGTAGCAGGGAGAGGACAACTCTTCCCAAGACAGCTCCACACATCCTGGTGGCTCAGGCCACGTCAGAGAGCTTGTGCAACTGTATGGGCAGGCCCTGGCACTGAACTCCCAGGTTCCTCAGCTTTTCACTGTGTAGGCAAAGATATTGCCTTTAATTACAGTTATCTGCCTCCTCTCTCTTCTTAAACCTCTGACTTTCCCTGGGCTCATACAGGGTGAACACCACATTATTTTAGCAATCATTCATTAATATTTAAATCCAGAAGCCACGCTGCTTCTTAGTTCACTTTTCTCAAGACATGGAAATACCAAAGTGTTCACTTCTCTTGGATTAAACACACAGGCTCTGAGCTCCATTCAGCAATCCTGTGCTGTAACCTGAAAATATTAAATGCTATATTCCTTTAAGTATTCCAGAAAGTGAATCCTCCTTTTTGTTATGACTCTTCTTGCTGTTTTTCTTTTTCTGATTAGAATTCTTTTCCAGCGCTCCACTTGCTCCCTGTAACTTCTTTAGAGCTCTGTTTTTATTCACGTTTAACTTTAACGACCCCCTATTTATGTGTGTAAGTTTAGACAAGTAACTTCTAAAGAAGGTCCTTGATATTCTGGATTGCCAGCAGTGACACTTTCCACTGCCACACAGACTGCATGTGTGGCTGTACGTATGGGAAGAGGGAGGGCACTTTGGGCGTCTCCCAGGCGGTACTGCTCTGCTGTAGCTGCCACGCAGTGGTTATTTGTCCTCAGAATACCTTCTGTGCTTTCCGTGGAGCAGCCTTTCCTTCAGCTGTACGGAGCCCTGGGAAATTTGGAATGGGGAGCAAAACTATGCTTTTGAAAAGCTTCCTTATTTTGGTTGAAACGCTGATTTAAGTGGGTAAGTTCAATTGAGTTTATTTCCGAAAGATCATGTTTGGAGCACGAAAACTTGAGAAAAAAGCTTTCTTTTTTGTAACTGAACATGGAAGCAAGCCCTGCAAAAAGCAGGAGGGCGGAAGGTTTTACAGTGATACATCCTGACAACGATCTTTTTTCCCGTTACTGTTTATTTTAATGTCTTATGCCCACTAATGGCAAGTCAGAAATACCCTAGTCTGGCAGGTAGCAGTATACTCAGGCTGGCACGGGTTTAATTTGTTGCTGTGTACGCCTCATCCAGAATGCTTGCCCCATTACTTGCTAATGTAAATAGCCTTCAGACCAATGTTTTGAAGGATAACAGTTTGCCTTTAATGCAGTAGTGAGACAGAAATGCTCCTTGACTGCATTTCCTTCAGAGTGCAACACAAAGCACACAGTAACTCAGAGGAAGATCTTTCCTTGACAGATAGTAAATAACTGTTCAACACTCCAAAGTTAACAGATTTTTTGCTAGCCGTATGTGCGCTGCAAGGATGATTGATAGGAATAGGCTGTAAGGGTGTTTCTGCTGCGCTTAGAGTATAAGCCTGCATGAAGAAGTCTTAGGGAACAGGGCCGTACGGATGGAAAAGGGGGAGGGCAGCCAGAGCATTCCTCTGTGCTTCTGGAGCAGCCTCCTCTCCTAAATCAGCTCCCTAGAGCTGCTCTGAACACATTCCCCATCCCTTCCCCACTGGGATTTCTGCCAGCGCTGGTTTGGGATGGTTGATGATAGCTAATAACTATAGCCAGGTGAGCTCCTCTTTGAGGAAGCAGTCAGAGGTATGGGGGTTAATGGCTAAGGACTGATACTGCTGCGTTGCCTTCTGGTGGTCTGCTTCCGGAAAACAGGCCTTAGCATATATCAGAAGGTTTTTCTAAGGATCCCTTTTCCCCCTCATTGTTCTACAGTTGTCTCTACCAGGTGCTGTGGTCCCCCTCACAGTGACATGCGGGAAACTCTCCATGATGGATACAGCTTTCTGCAATTCTGCAGAGCAGA